TTTCATAAATTACGGTTTCATATTTTTAATTTTATAATTTCTGCATGCCATCTTACGAGATTTAAACTTATGATCTATAATCCGGAAAAATCGACAATCCGGAATCGCCGAAGTCCCGACGAGTCCGGATTAACGACTTTTGACTGTATAACCTTTTTCAGAGGACACTAGAACTTTCCATTGGATATGAATTCCAGTACCTGAAAAATACAAATATCTCGGGACTATCTTGGACAAGCAACTGGAATTTACAAAGCATGCACCTTGCTGAACGCAAACACATCCTGCATGGCAATTTACTACTCATTAAGAAGGAAATAACAATTAAGCCTTAGAGTAAAAAGAAACCACACTTAACTGTAATGAAACTTATGCATCCTCTCTATAGGCAAGTGCTTCATAAACATACATACGAAAGATCGATGTTTTTAAAAATAACCCTCTGAGAGGTATGGTAAATTCACCGCAGTTTGTAAAAATTTCTCAGATCCACAAGGACACGAAAAATTAAAAACACTCACGATTATCTCATTTTTATTATATTCCCATGTGCAACATGGATAGGAGAGAATTTCCCTTAAAACGTCCTTCACGAAGGCGCAGGCAGATAGCCCTTGAGTTGCTTTACCTTAAATCAATTTACCTAAATTAGCCTAGCCTACCGTTTGCACAACAGTAAGCTGCTAGCACTAGAAAAACATACACATGAGCATTGACAAACTCAAACTGAACATGTTAAAAATTATTACATTTACTGTTCATCATTGGAAATCATCTCCCCCTAAATCCATCTGTTCTCCCAAATTCGAGACCTTTCGACGTTACGTAACACTGCTTGGAAAAGATAACTAAAACTAATATTGACCAATCATAGCTTGTTTCTAGAATTGCACCTACTCTAGTATAAAACCTCTGGCAAGCTTACTACGTCATTAATTCTGCGTCTTCTTCTGCTAGCTTCTACCTTGGTAATAAGACCTCGCTTTGCTCCTCATTTAAACATAATTTTAAGAATCAATGTACATCGTAATTTATCGTATTTCGTCATGATTGAATCACAGAAATGTCTCATTTCATTATGACTGGATGCCGATGCCCTGTGTAGAAGACACTACCCAGAAAGCTGATGACATTCTTCCAGGGTCGAAGCGAAATGCGAGCTGTTTAATCCGGTCGCACGAGAAGTTACAACATTAAAATGGGCTGATCGAGAATCATGGAATGAGAAAGTTAGGGAGGACTAGCTGGAGAACGCCGACATTAAACCCATCATTGACTTAATGAAGTCTTCAAATAGAAAACCTAACTAGTAGGACATTTCGATCTATAGATCTACGGCAACAATATTGGGCTCTCTCGGACTCACTCCATATTCGAAACGGAGTCTTGTATCGGAATTTCGAATCGGAATGATGGAAAGAGATTGCGATGATCCAAGATCCCGGATTTCGGCTATCCTTAAAAAACTACATAGAAGCCCTACAAGGTGGCCACTTCGCAATAATGAAAACTTTGCAGAGAGTTCGAGAGCGCTTTTACTGGAGTAATGCAAAGGATGACGTACAAAAGTAGTGCCAGTCTTGTGATGTGAAGGCGGGTCGGAAAGGACCGAAGAAACGCAGGCGAGGAAAATACAATGTTAATAATTTGTAACAGCGTCTTTTGAACCTATCGCTATTGACATCCTGGGATTTCTGCTACGAGCTGTTAATGGTAAAAAATGCATTCTCGCTGTTATTGATTACTTCAACAAGGTGCCAAAAGAGTATACTATTCCTGGCTGTCACGGTAGCAGAACTAATAATACAGCATTGTATTTCCAGATTCGGAGTGCCTCTTCAGTTACATTCCCATCAAGGAAGAAATTTTACTTCGTCTGTAATTAAAGAATTCTGCATGCTTCTCGGCATCAACAAAACTCAAACGACACCTTTACATTCCCAGTCAGATGGCATGGTAGAGAGGTTTAATCGAACCGTTCTTAATAACACATCTTTGGTAGTTTCCAGAAACCAAAAGGACTGGGACAAGAAGTTACCATTGCTCTTACTGGCCTATCGCAGTGCTGTCCTTGAGACTACCGGCTTTCCCCCATCCGAGATACTTTTCGGTCGTAAACTTCGCCTGCCTTGTGATCCCTCCTTTGGTTGCCCTCCGGATGCGCCTTTATTAGTCCAAAGGGACTTGAGTCCCGAAGGACTATTACTTTCGTTTTGGCATTTTGCGTCGGACGGATAAATGTCGGTTCACTTTTCAAACTGTTGCCATAAAATGTTACAGTCCTGCATTATATTTGAAGAAATTAAATAATGAAAATCTGCGTAAATGTATGTATATTTCTCATTGTCATAAAATAACGGTACATAGAGTCATCGAATTTTGAATAACGTAATCCTCCAACGAATATGAGCATGTGGAAGACCAAATTTGAAATTTGAAATTTGTTTTATGATCGATTTCCTATTTTTTAAAACTTTGACGAATTTTTGATTAAAACTCAAGGATTTCAAAGCGAGCAATGGCAACGTTGTGCAGAAAAAACATTTTTATCTCCAGCGCGTGAGTCTCTGTATCGGAAATTCTAAAGATATGCTCGTTTTAAAACTATTTTGCGATATTGCTGTTGCACTGGATCTTATGGTTTAAGTGCGAGGAACATGATATTTAATAAAGAAAGGTAACACACAAAATGTTAAAAAACGCCCCTTTGGACGTAATTTAAAATCTGAAACATTTCAGATTTTTTTTTTTTTAATTTTTATATTATATCTGTTTTCTATGAACCATCGCTTTAGTTGAGGCGTGAGCAACTGTCAATTTGAACATTTTATCACAGCCTGACCAGCCATGTAAGTCGCTTTTGCCTAACAACATATATGTTCGAGCTTGAGTGCCTTTTTCCTCATTAAGAGTTCTTCCATTGGTTGAAGAATATAGCAGGACTGATGTTTATAGCCAGGCAATAAAGCGTTTTGAGATTTCACCTTGAGAACAAGTACGAATCCAACTTCTTGATGCCTTTCATCATCTTTGAAAATGGAATCGAAATCTTGAAAATGGACCGAAAATGGAAGGAAAATCGCACTAACGATATCATGTATATACAACATTTTTCCGAATATAGGGATAAATACAGCAAATATATATTCCTAGTATATATACAGATGGCTCCAGAGAGGCTAATCTCGCTGGAGTATCTTATGGGACTGGTAATCTCATGGTAGGCATTCGCTTGCATAAATTACACTCAGTCCTGACCTCTGAGTTATCTGCTGTATATCATGCTCTATCCTTTATTTCTAAATTATGCAATTGGAAATTTATAATTTATGCAGACTCGCTTAGCACCCTGGAAGCTGTAGAAACATTTTCTGATTTGCAAAACCCAGTATTTATTAATGTTATAAAATTAATTTAAGATTGAGGAAACATATACAACATCATCATCAAGTGTTTTTCATACATTTTATTTTATTCCTTATTATAGAAAAATAACGAAAATTATCAAAATTATCAAAAATATATATTAAAATTAGAAAACTTTTTATATATCATCTCCAAGGAGAAGAAATTCAATTAAAATCAAGAATTATTAAAAATGTTTTAGTCAGCATTTTAATTAATAATTTAAATTAGTATTTTCTAGACATCTATTGCTTTAAAAACATAAAAATTTGTAAAGAAAAATCCTTAAACGCAAAAATACGAAAATCATTGTTACTGATTGCAGATTAATCGACTTATCAAGGGGAATAAACCAATCTACCATCAATTAACAACAACTAAATTAAGTGAGAGTATTTCGTCTTTCTTCCACGTAAGCATGAAATTATATTTCTTCAAGAGCCAAATCACATGTCACGATAAAATAAAGACATTAGTAATCTTCATAAGCAAAATAAAATAGTAAATAATCTTTTAAACTTAAGTTGTCCACTAAGGACACAATGTAAAAAAAAAAAAAAAAAAAGTGTATATTTTTAACATAAAAAGTAATTCAAAATCAAAAGACGATCAAAATGGCAAAATACTTAAAATTAAATAAAAGTAGCTATTTTATAAAGATCAGACTCGGGAAGAAATTAAAATTAACTTACATGCTTGCTAAAATTTAAAACGAAACGATTGGAAATGCAATTGTATTCAGTGATGGAATGCAAGAAGGATTATAGGAAAACGTTTTCTTCTATTTTTAAAAAAGTATTCTTAAATTGGCGTTTAAACTTTTGAAAGGTTCTTGGAGATAATATATTGAGAGCAGACTGAATATAAATACCCATTATTGGTACCAACTGCGCAACGACTAAAAAGTCAAACAGTTTTTGCAAATCGCCGAAATTCTGCAAAGTTACATCAGAAATTCTAAATACTTTTATTTAGAAAAATATCCAATACATTGGATGGTGTAAGAATAAAAATCTTAGAATGATTAGTTTGCCTTTTAACAAAGGTAGCTGAGAGAAACTATATTAAACTGTTTTAGAAGTTTTATGGAATATTCTATTTTTATGGCAAATTTATGTAGGGAAGATTTCAAGAAAATCGGGTCTTTATAAGGAGATCTATATTAAATATTAAGATTAGAGTCGAATAAATGTTTAACAAAATTGGCATAAATAACTTTATAAAACAATGCGTATGGAATAATAAAAGTTAGAATTTGAACTATGAATTGACATAACTCAGATTTTACACCAAGATAAAAAAGATGTCAAAAGTCGATGTATATATCAGCAGATAATGGTAAGAAAGGTTCAAGTTATTTGTTTATCATTCTCTGATAAAAAAGTGTCCAAATGGAGTAATAAAATATTAGAAAGATAAACGAAAATAAATTATTGTTATGCTATCTATCAAGGGTGTAAGAATTGTGTAAATTTTGATTCAAATCGCAACTGCAAATAATGAGATACATTCCGCAAGAGAAGAAGAGAAAGAATGACCTTGCTTGTTTGCATTAGCTGTACATAAGTCACGTGATCTCTGAGGTCATCTGCATTGATTGTTTACAAAAGGTATACACAAGTCACGTGATCAATGAGGCCATCGAAATATATCAAATTTATCAAAAGCACAGAATAAGTTTTGAAGATAGCATGAAATAAATACTTCACGTGGACTAAATATGCTAGAGTGAAGTAATTAAATTTTTAGAAGATGGAGCTCATATTAAACCTGCTAATTTTAACGTTTGTGGGAATGGTGCTTTTTATTAATGCGATTGTTGTGATTTACATTTGGTTTCGCAAATCTAATACGGCCAAGAATTATGCCACTTTTCCGATATATGGTGCAACAAATCCTCTTTTGGTTTTTTGGCAATATTTTCAACAAATGCGGAATATCAAGAAGATTCCAGTACTTGCGAGTAAGTAACTTATATCAATGAAATTTGTTTTACTAAAAGACACTTTCTTTGACTAAATATTGTAATCAAATTTCGATAAGATGAAACTAGAAAGACAAAAATAATTTCGAATAAAATGAAACGCCTGTCATCGCGTACAAATTACCTGGATGAAAAACGTGTTGAGTGACAGATATCTGGAGTTACTAACATTCATATGCCCAATAAAGTTTTTGTTGCAACGAAAGACAAGTGGGAAAGAATGTCGTCAGAGGTAAAGTATGTATGCTAGTTCTTTGATCTGCAAAGTTTATGCAGAATGACGTATTTTTTTAGGTTATTTTTTTGAAAGTAGGAGAAATGAAAAATGAGCAATGCCCTCGCCGAGAATCGAACCACGGACTCTTGAATTCGCGTCGATCGTGCTCATCACTACACAACAAAGGCATGCTAAGAAGGCAGAGAAATACCTTATGAGGTAAGATGTAAACTAAACTTTTTATGTAAAGATATCACAGTGATAAAGCAGTATGAAGTCACATTTTCAATAAAAAATACCATTTTTTCTTTTAGAAACATTTTAAAATGTAGGCAACAAAATCACATTAGGTAAATTTTGGCTAAAATTCCATAAGCGGGATAAGTTGGCGCCAAACTATTTTGGCCTTCAAAATTTGGCGAATTTTTTAGGCGCACTAAATGAAAGCACTAAAATGTGAATTTTAAACGTAAACAGAATAGTAACTTTTAAGTTTTGCAGTAGTAAAACGCCGTTATTTTACGTAAACAGAATAGTAAAATGAGATGATAAAATACTAGATGAGTAAAACAAAGCCCAACAGCTTTGCAAGTAAAAGCATAATCCTATATATATGTAATTCATCATAAAATAGAGAATGAACAATTCTTGTAAATAATTATTGAGTAAATAAATGTATGAACTTATCAGATCAGAGCACTGCGAAGTCAGTTTTAAACATAAACATAATAGCAAATTATGCGTATTCAGCATCATACACTAACTAAAATATTCAAGTTACTATCGTCGTGGAATTCAACAGACTAAACAACTTTCGTTCAAAGCTTTAAATATTCCACATCTTTTGATTGCCACGTGCAAGAAACAAAAATTAAAAAAAAAAAAAAAAAAAAATTAAATGAAAATATTCATAAATTATAAACTTCATGTCATATGAAATCCAACATTCTCTCACCAACAACAGCTTAACCTTCTGAACCGAGACCGAATGAATCTCAACCCGAGTCGATTAGGGCTAAAGGGGAAAGAAAGGGTCATTCATTTTTCTTAGTAAGGATAAGGGATAGTTGCCTTGAACTAAAAAGCATCAGCTTTGTAGAAAATTTTTATTGACATTCTAAAACATGAAATTCTTTAACAGAAAGATTGCCCGCAGCACAGTGAGGCTAGGAACGCTATTCTACTGAAATATAAACATGAACTGTTTCCATTCGCACAAACTCAATAGTAAAATAAAGATTGTTGCCAGTAACAAGATTATTGTAAAAATCATAACATAAAATTAAATAGTGAGAAAATAAATAAGGCAAAAGAAGAAAAAAAAAAGGAATGCAAATATTAAATATACATCCAACATTAGCTCCCTCCCTTGCTATTGCATTAACAACAGATCATTCCCGATGCAATGGCAAAAGTTTTACTACAGGTCTTTTAAAATGATAATTAATAGTTTTTACTGTAACAACTCTAACATTGCCATCCTTTCCGGGATGGATTTCAACAATGCAACTTAATAGCCAAACACCAGGAGGCATGTTGTTCTCCTTAATTAATACAATATCACCTACAGACAAATTTGGAAGTTGTTCCTTCCATTTGTATCTTTGTTGTAAGGAATTTAAATTCCCATCGTTTTAATAAAGTGGGTTTGGAAGTATTAGAAAAATTCTGTTCTCGGATGCTAGTAATAACATCCCCAGTTAAAAATGTAATGGCGTCAAGGCATCTAAATTAACTATATTATTGTGATTAGTTTTAGACAAGGGGCCTTGAATTTAACACAGCTTCAATTTGAGTTAGAAACTAGTTAATTCCTCAAATGCAAACTTTGTCTCTCCTATCATTCTTTTCAAATAAAATTTTATGAACTTGATCCCTGACTCCCACAAACCACCAACATTGGGAGAAGCAGGTGGAATCATTTTTCATTCGATAGTATTTTGAGCTAAATAATTTAAAATCAATTCATTGCTGTTAAGTGAAAGTAGCAGAGTATGCAATTCGAACAATTTTCTTTTTGCCCCAACAAAAAGTTCGTACCATTACCCGAAAATAAATATCGAGGTGTACCACGCCTTGATACAAATCGCCTAAGAGCAGCAATGAAAGAATCTGCAGTTAAGTCGCTAACTACCTCAATATAGTAAGCTTTGATAGCTAGACAAAGAAACAAAACTATATAATCCCTAGTGGTCTTAAAGCAACGACCTTAAAGCAACATTTCAAAATTACAGAACCGGCATAATCAATGCCTGTGCTAAAAATGGTCTCTCATGTTTTTACTCTTTGTTTTGGTAAGTTTCCCATTAATTGATTATTACGTGACAATTTATATCTGCGACACACAATACACTTATGGATAAAATATTGAATAAGTTTCTTACCATTTAAAATCCAATAGTTTTGCTTTAAAATGTTAGCTAGTAAAATGGGTCCTGCATGCATATAAGTTACATGATATTGTTTAACAAGTAACAAGGCAATCCTGTATTGACCCGGGATAATTATGGGATGTTTAGTACTAGCCGACCCTCTCACCCGTAAAACACCATCATCATCTAGAAAAGGAAAAAGTGAGCTTAAATCACTGTTAGGACTTGAAGATGAATTATTTTTGAGATCTTTTATATCTTTATGGAAGTGCACAAACTGGATCCATTTAATGATCAACTTCATAGCTTCTTGCCTTTCATTAGATGAAGGTACTACTGCAAGATTTTTTAACCTATTTTCTTCAGAACCAAAGACCTGTTCTTTGCACCTAGAAATAAATCTTAAGCAAAAAGAAATTACATTAACTATTTTAGATAAATAAAAACAGTTCTGAAATAAATTATCCAGAGTGTCCTTAGTCAAATAAGCTGCTGTACAAAAAATTGATTTTGTCCTTTGTTCAGCTATGACAGTTGTATCACTATTGGTCCCATGACTGACAGAACATTGCAGAGGCCACTTTGAACTGTCGAACGCTAAGAATGATGGCCCATGCTACCCTAGGGGATATGTTCGGTAAGAAGTTTAGGATCGATTCTTCTTGAAGGAAGATCGACAGGGTTCTGTTTCGACGAAATATAGCTCCACTGTTGATAGGGAATAGCATCTAATATTTCTAGGTCCTGTTTGCCGCAAAAAGCTTATATTTTCGAGGATGAGCTGCTAACCAACAGAGAACAACCTTAGAGTCAGTCCAAGCGTGAAAGGAAATTTCAGTGCTGGAGAAGACCTTTGACAGCTTTGATTAGTCTGACAAGGAGCAGTGCATCTAGAAGTTGCAATCTAGGGTATGAACACTTGTTTAATGGGTGCAACTTTGGTTTTAGCAACCGCCAAATTGACTTCATTTTTGTCGTGAGAGGCTGGTTGAACACAGCAGATGACAGCAGCGGAAGCAGATTCTGACGCGTCACAAAACACATGCAGATATATGTGGTTAGACGTAGTTTGAAGGCACCTCGAAATTTTAACATTGCTGAGAACCCTAAGATCGTTTTGAAGTCACTGCAGTTCTCTTCCCATTCTTTAGGCAGTCAGGCATCCCAGTCAAGCTTTAAGAACCACTGTTAATAAACCATTTTCAACTTGACTGAACATAGCAATAGCATAGATTTTAGAAGATTGAGAAATGAACCTTCTTTTAGTACTCGTAATTTCAGTCCCGAAATCCATATAAATGTTAAATAAAAATGCATCTACTGTTGAGCTCCAAAAGAGCCCTAAAGTTTTCGCCCAATCATCTGAGTGAAAACTGGATCCATTTTCAAGGTCAACTGCTTCCTCTAAACTATTTTGATCCAGATAAACAATCATCTACATAGAAATCATTTTTAAGAACGGAAGATACATGAGGATGATCCTGTTCTGCATCCAAAGCAATTTGCCACGGACAGTGTGTTGCTAAAAATGGAACAGATGCAGTGCCATAATTAACTGTATATAATTTATATGTCTGCATTTTTAAATTAACAGATTCTCTCCAAACAATTCTTTGTAAATGTTGATCCTCATTGTCTACTAAAATTTGGCGGTACAATTTTTCCTATGTCATCAGAAAAAGCTATTTTATGTATACGAAAGTTGAGCAATATTTAAAATATATCTCTTTGTAGTGTTGCACCTACCCTTAAAACAGAGTTCAAAGTAACTGAATTTTTAGGTGTACATGATTCGTCAAATACTACACGAAGTTCAGTGGTAGAGTTAAACTCTGTTTAACAACAGCATGATGCGGTAGATAATATACTTGATTGTTTTCTTCAATCTGAACAATTGGAGCCATGTGACTTGAGGTATTTAAGTCATCAAAGTATTTTTGTGGTAAATTCTAAGTATTTAAGCAATCAACTATGGTCCAGAATTTTTACCTTAAAAAAAAAAAAAAAAAAAAAAAAAAAAAAAATTAAATTAAATTAAATTAAATTAAATAAATTTAAAAAAGTGAAAGATTTTGTATTACGCCCAAAGAGACATTTTCTTGATTTACACACATATACACGTTTCAAGAGCATTTAGGCTAACGCTTCTTCTGGCTAAAAATATTTATAAACAGCATAGCTTTAGAATTTCCGATAGACAGCTTTGCGCGCTGGAGATGAAAGTGTTTTATTCAATACAAGTATTGCCACCGCTAGCTTTGCAATCGTTGAGCTTTTTAACCAAAAATTAATTGAACTTTTACAAAATACGAAATACACAAGAAAACAAATTCGAAATTGAAAATGCGGGCGTCCAGGAGCCGATACTCCTGTGGAGGTCTATGTTATTAAAAATTTGATGGGTGTAGGTACCGTTGTATTTTTACAATGCGATAAACATACATACATACATTCATGCAGATTGTTCATTATTTAATTTCTTGAAACATAGTATAGGGCGATAATATTTGGTGACAACAATTTGAAAAGTTAAACAATGCTTTTAGTAACTCAACACAAAGTGCCATTTCGTGACTAATAGCCCCTCTGGGCTAAAAAAAAAGACGAAGAGTCTTTAGGATTGAATTTCATTTGTGAACCAAGGTTTCATTGCAATAAAAAAATGCCCCCATAATGAAATTTTCGAAAAACTGCATTTGAAGTATGGCAAGGAATTTAAGACCATTCCTAATTGGCTTTCCGATCCATCATGTCACATTAACAGGAAGAAAAAAGGAAAAATATTCTTTACATAGTACTAAAATTTTTAACTAAAATAAAATTAACATCTGGGGCTGCTAAATTAAAAAAAAATTTTAAAATTGTAACAATATTTACTAAGTGCAGATAAAACTTTTCTTTCTAAGCTTAATATGTGAATATTTTCCAGTAAGAACACTGTTAATTACTTTCCCGCATTCTCGACGCGAATTCGAGAGGTCCGTGGTTCGAGTCCCGAAGAAAGCATTGCTTCCAAAAAGTCCTAATGTCTCTACAGTGGCGCCCGAACTAAAAAAGTGATGGACGATGATTCTCCACCACCAGGATTTGTCGATAGGGTCCCCTAATTCTCAGCCGCCCTTTAAAAGGGCGAGTATATTTCTCCCGACTTCTTAGCCTGCCTTCGTGGAGTAGTGGTTAGCACACTCGGCGCGTATTCGAGAGGTCCGTGGTTCGAGTTCCGGGGAGGATATTGCTCATTTTTCAAGTCATTCAGCATAAAAAACTAATACCCTAGTGGGGCCCGAATTAAAAAAGTGGGGGATGATGAATCTCTACCTCCAGGATTTGGCGATTGGGTCCAATAATCCCCAGTCGTCCTTTAAAAGGAGGGAGTATATAAGATATTTGCCCCACCTTCTTAGCATGCCTTCGTGGTGTAGTATTCAGCATACTCGGCGCGTATTCGAGAGATCTGTGGTTCGAGTTCCGGCGAGGGCATTGCTCATTTTTCAAGTCTTCCAGCATCAAAAATACCTCATAGCTCTACAACTGCTAAATATTTTGCTCTCTGTATTTGTGGTACAGTTTCATTAAATAATTTTAATTTCACTCTGAGGGGAGTATTGACGTAATTACTTCTGATAACAAGGCTGTATTGACACAACTCCGTTAACAGGGTTGTAGTAACATAACTTTTCCTGATAACAAGTAAATGGGACTTTTGGGTGTTTATTGATATGCGTCATTTTTTGCATCACCTTTCTCAGATACTCTTTCTATATGGGAATTTAATCTTGAAGCTTTTTAACGGCATGCCTAGCATTGTCGATTTGACAGCCAAAGCTGTGTCACCACCATTAATCCTAAATAATCCTAAATAAAATTATTTAGGAAACCATCCTAAATAATACGAGTAATTATGATCGAGGCCAGTTTGTGGAAAATCCACCATAGAGAATAAATATAAGACAGGTAGAAGAACTGAATCTTCAGCGTCAGCAACTGCAAATTCAATGAGTCTTACAAATTGCTTAGTTGTCGAAGGATGCTTTCTAAAGCATCCTTCGATCCTTTTTCTAAAGTTCTTGTGATAATAAGTATATATAAGGCTGCATTGGATGTAGAATAATGCGTTCATAAATTTTACTCAGTCCAGATAAAAGACTAATAGGCCGATACTGTTCAGGTTTGATCCTATCTTTTATCATATTTAGGAAAAAGATGAATTTTCTCGCATTTTCCAACAATCCGGAAAACAAGAAATACATAAATAAGCAGTTTATGCTACTAGTAAACTTACTGATAGCCTTACTGTGCAAATTTTCTAATCGCAGAATTTGTAATGCCGTCGTTTCAAGGAGCGTTTTTTATTTTAAGATGTTTGATAATATTGGCGATTTCAGATGGTGTTACAAACTGAGAAAGCTTCCAGCGTTAAAACAGGCTCTAACAAAGTAGCAAACTTTACAGGTGAAGCAATATTTACTCTCGTGGAGCAATATTTAGCGTGAAATGGTTTTGTAAATGATTTGCAAAAGCTGTAGCTTTGTCCTCGATGGAGAGTGCTGTGCTATTTTACTTTCCATAGCAATTGCTCTAATAGAAGAATAAGTTCTTCTGGTTTTGTTTTGATATATGCCTAAAACGAGTCGTCATTTACATCTAAACTGTTACTTCCCCATTTTCAGATCTATATTTAAATTTTTTTTATGTATTATGTTTGTTAATTTCTTTCTTTAGGTCTGGATCCCATGTGAGATTCCATTTTTCCCTGTAATAATTCCGTTTTTGAGGAGATCTCTTAAGTTTTTTGGAAGTTTACCTATATTATATTATCACCGGGAACAATTCGGGATGCATCTCTGATGGGGGAATCTACGCTTCCCGCAGTCGAAGGTGTCCCCTTCGCAGATGGGTAGATTGGATTCTACAAGGGTCACTAACCTGCATCCAAAGTGTGAACTTAGAGAAAACTACGTGAAATTAACAATCCAGTAAAAACGAGATAGCCAAACGCAGCAAAGATAATAACACTGCGGCAGAAGACATCAACAACGGCGATCTTTTCATACAGAAAATTTAGCTAAAGTGGTAAGCAACAACCACATTATAGCAAAACAAATGGGCGGACGGCAGAGCACGGAGTATACTCCGTGGGGCGGAGTAAAGAGTAAAGCCCGTATAGTGCCATCTGGCGAAGAAAGCAGTCATCAAAATGATTTTCATTTTTACTACTGGATCTTTCTTTTCGATCTGATGTTTAGTTTAGCAATCCGAAACTGGTGGCGCTAGTTAGACTTCACTGAGACGGCCGATTAAACAAATGGTGTAGTCATAATTTTTGGAAAATAAAATACTTATCAACAAACGATCTACAACCGGACTGATAAAACGCTGTCGTTTTAAATTATGGAACTATAAGATAAAAGAATGAACAATTCACATAAAGAGCAAAACACAGATGATTTAATCAAACCATTTTTTTTCTTTCTTCTTTTATAGATGTGTTAAGATTAATTATTGCTAACGCATGCATGTTCCAGCGAGAAGGAGTATTCCAATTTTGGGTTGGATGTATTCCGTATGTTGCCATTTATAAAGCAGAATATATCAAGGTAAGAATTGTTTAGAAGAATCCTATAGCTTTTATAATTTACAGTTACTAAGCTTTTCAAAATAAAGTATAGAATTTTACGAAAATTTCAGCATTGTGAATAGGAAAAGGCTTCATTCAATACAAAATGTCACATTTTATATGGTACAGTGAACAATTGCATGAAATATTTGCTATGCATAAGTTAAGCACATAATCATTCATATCTTAAATTGTAACATTCATGAAGACCGCGCAAATAAATTTACAGATTTTGGTTACTAATCACTGCGCATTACAGAGTGAAACTCAATATTTTTCGACTGGAATTTGGCAGACATGTCAAACTCAGTAAATCAAGTTGTCAACATTTTACAAATTTTTGGGTCGCAAGGTTAAAAAAAGGTTATTTTCATGCTTAATGATGCATTTAAAAAGGAGCAAATCGCTAAAAGTTTAGCTACTATTGTAGTTCTTTGAAAAATAAGAGGAATGTAAAAGGAAACTTTAGTGGTAGATGATTATCTACCATTTCTTTCCTGACGACGGGCATCATGTTCCCTGCAACTAGCTTTGAAATGTATGAAGATAGTATCTTGATCATCCTAGCGGTTTTCAGAAGTTAGATGAATACCCGTTAACTTTATCTCGTTAGGGATTTGTTACGCTTCATTACGCAGAAAAGTTTTTTTTTTACCCTTATACATATTACAGAACATGGAAACCAAGATGTAAATTTGCGGTTTCCTGTGAACCACACAGGTAAGTATTTGTAAAATTCAAGGATATCAGCTTCGCTGAATTTTTGCATTAGATATATATTCGAATGAATTTCTGTTAATTCCATTTGCAAATGGCTCCGTCAGTGGCAGGCTTGGTTAAGACCTCTGAATACTGGTAGTTGGAATCATCCTCGACCCCAGGCGAAAAAATTAGCTGTAATGGCTGTTTTCCGTGGTTTTTCTTATGTATCAGATGAACATGCTTTAATTTTCCTCAAGTCTTCCACGAAGGTTCCCTTGCTCTTAGGTAGATGATAGCCTACGTGTGCTTTGTCAAATTCCTTGATCCCCCCATATATAATTTGGCTGGCATATTCTCAACTGGATCGAGAAAATATTTTTTATAGAGAAACCGTGTCAAGAGTTCTTTAGCCCTCCGAGCGTTACGGGATTAGCCCTGAAATTGCAAAGTTCCTCAAAATGTCATGAATAAGTCGTATTTTCTTGATTTTATTTTAAAAAAAAAATTACTCTCTCATTTTGTACCTTGATTCTTTTTTTTCCAATATACATCCAAACCGAAATCAGATACATTAAAAACTAGAAGAAATTTGAATGCATAATGAATATAGAAGACAGCCTTCTATACGGAATTTTCCGGCCGTAACGCTGAGAGGGTACACGAAGTTGTATATTCGCTTCGACATGGTAATGAATTTCCGTTTTTGTCAATGTATTACAATCATATATTTTTTGTTATTTTCTCGGGATAAGGGCAGCAGAAAAATGAATCATGATTCGCGAGTTTCACATTCCTGTTCTAGGTGATTTAAGCAAAATGCTTGATTATATGTCTAAAACATCAAGGTACTCTTCCCGCTAGCGTTTAGCTAATAACCTCAGTTTAAAAATGGAGAAGTGAGAAATTACCCATTTTTTTCTTGTTAGAAGGCTCTAGATGTGAGAAAAATAGAATATCCCACTTGAAACATTCAACGTACTTCAGAGCACGCGTAAAAATTACGATTCCATCTGGAGGCTTGCACGGTATTTTACTTGCCAGATGTATGAGCACAATTACATCTCGTGCTGTAAACCTCAAAGTGTTTGGTTTAGTTTATTATGGCAAAGCACACTAGGGCTATCTGCATAAGAGAAGAGACACCTTTCTAAGGGAAACTGCCTCGTATACACGTTACACATGGGGAAAACCATGAAAACGCTTATGCAGCCAGCCCGTTCGCGGGGTCAGGACTACCACTTTTCAACCATTTTACTGCCCGATGGTTAGTAGACCTCTTCTGATTTAGGATGCCTTTCCTTGTTCTTTCGACACAAAACGATTTCGTCCCTTCTTTATTTAAAGGGTGCGTAAATGGTCGGAATGGAAAAGCCTCAGACAACTGTTTTGCATCCACAGTCAAAAAGGTAGTGCAGAAGTGTTTAATAGAACAACCCTGGATCACCTTTCGTTATTTGCATTTCGACACAAAGCACCAGAACCAACATCGCCTGGTACTGTAGGATATTTGGTCCTGCTTGTATATACATACATGTACATTCCACGAGAGCATCATATTTACACTGCTGCGGATCATATTTGAAGAAAATCTTCGTCTGAAGTGTGATATCTTCTTCAGCTGTCTGTTTCCATTTCTTTGCATGAGCGATACCTGGAAGATCTGCAAGAGCATTTAGAAAGAATATAGTTCGTCAGAGTAAAGAATCTGCGCTACGGCTGAAAGAACGGATTTGCGATTTTAAGATGCCAAATATCGCTGTGCAATTGCAGATGTGTCTAGAGGGCATCTTCCTTCCCATAAAGGACACTCATTGTGGTAATGATGCGCATTTAAAATATTCCTTCCTTTTTATCTAAAATGGTGTAGTATGATCACGAACCACGAAACTTCCACGCAGCCAGCCCGTTCGCATGGATTCGAACCCATGTTGGAACTACCAGTGTTGAGCGATTTTTCCACTCAATCTTTAGCGGACTACCTCATAGTGTTTGAATGCATAAGCATATAAAGCTTCAATGCATTTTTATACGAAGGGAAATTCCATAACAAATTATTTGGGATGCCTAAAATTTTGCAAGGTCTCTAAAAGCTCAGAGAAAAATTTGAACTTAAGGAAATGTTTGGCTTTTCAAATAAAATGATTGAAGAGTTCAACAAGAAAGGTCTTAATCTAGCCTAAGGCGAAACCGAAGAAGCAACCGCCTACGCTGTTTGGAGTATATTTAAAGTAGGCTTAAGTCGGCCTGCAGGCCGAATGCGGCTCTTCTAATTGCTTAATTTTAGTCGCAATATCGTCACAGCTGTAGTACAAGGCCAGTCAGGGATATTGTTATGAATAGTCTTCAACCAACTATTTGTGGAATTTCTACATACTAAGTCCTTATGGCAGTTAGAGGCAGAAGTCGAAGTCCAGAAATAGTAGACCCCTCTGCCGTCAAAGGACTTTGCCCGGGGTGCACCACTAGGAGGTAGGTCTATGTGACATTATCATGTTAATATTTAACTTTCTTTTGAGAAAATTGCCGCATAATACACTAAAGGCTAAGTTTCACTATTCATATGATTTAGTAATGTCTTATACTTCATCTGTAGTGCCTACTATTGGTCCAATGGTATGAGCGCTAAACGTTGGTGATTTCACCTAAGTCCAAATCCTGACAAATAGTTTTGCTAAAGGTGAAGTATCCTGGTTTCCTCCACGCTTAACGCGAAGATGAATTAATTTTCCTCAGAGAGCTTTACAGAACATCTTACTCCTCAGACAACTGTTTAGGCATTACAACAACTGTTTAGGCAGATAACGCTCGTGTGCTTAGAAATAATCAAAATAACATAACCTAAACTATTTCATTTCTACTTTTTTTCATTTAGATTTATTGTCCTTCTAATGGCCAAGGGGGTAAGACTGTTAAAAACTGATACTTCTACGTAAGTTCGAATCCTGTTGAACGCTGCTAAAGGTGAAGTATCCTGGTTTCCTCCACGCTTTAACGCGAAGATGAATTAATTTTCCTCAGAGAGCTTTACAGAACATCTTACTCCATAGGCAGATAACGCTCGTGTGCTTAGAAATAATCAAAATAACATAACCTAAACTATTTCATTTCTACTTTTTTCATTTAGATTTATTGTCTTTCTAATGGCCAAGAGGGTAAGACTGTTAAAAACTGATACTTCCACGTAAGTTCGAATCCTGTTGAACGCGTGGACTGCATAGGCGTTTTAGCATCTCCTCCCCCCATTTGTAATCTGAATACGAGCCAGTCTTCTTTATAAGAAGTCCTCCACGAAAGTATGCATCATCGTACGCTTTGCCTTTATCAATTAATATAATATGTTCCTGTTATTTAATTAGCTCAGGGATCTTGGATGTGCTAATTTTCTGAAATCTGAGCAATAGCTTGGTACTAATTTTTTAATCACAAAATCGATAGCAACAAAAAAGAAGCTGCCCATATCTAATGTACACTTTTCGTATGCCATTTATTACACCAGTTACTATCTTAAACATTTCAAATTATGTGCATAAATCATCTTAGAATTTCAGTGTGTGAAATAAGCCTAACATTTTTTTTTTTTTTTTTTTTTCTTCCTGTAGGAGGTCATTAACAGCCGAACTGCTGATGACAAATCTAAGGATTACATTGTTATTCGAAAACTCTTGAGAACTGGCTTACTTACCAGGTTGTATTGCATTTTAATATTTAGCTATTAATACTGACTGTAGCAATATATTATGTACTATGAGGACTTCATGCTTTTTAGGAGGTTATCTAACCTTCTCATCACTCAAACTATGATTTCAATTTTTGTTTATTTGTTTATTTTTTGTGAGACAGCATTAGAGAACTCCTTTTATGTAAGTGAAGACTCAAATTTTTTCCATACGTAAGTATTTGTGATGAGAATACATGGTTATAAAAAAAAAGGTTTTCTAACTTTTTTTTTTTAGTGTTGAATTGAATAAATTGAATATTTGTCACATATCCTATCTTAACAAACAAATTAATTATCGCAGAATTTCGATACTTGTATAATCGAAAAATAATTTTCATTCAAACGGAGAACTTTAGAAATTTCTTGTGTAACGAATGTTTTACCGCAGTACTTTTTCAAAGAATTTCCGAATTATAACTAGTGTGTAATTTTTAATAATGAAGGAATAATTCAAAATATTCAATCGTTCATTATTAGTTATCTCCTGAATTTACAGACGAAATAAAATTTCTAAATCAAACAGAAATTTAAATGTAATTTTTCACCAGATTACAAAGAACAATTTTCTTAGATCCAGACGCCGAAATTTTCTTTCTTATTCCCTTGGATAAAACGTATAAACTAAAATACATCAAAACATTTTACGACATGCACACTAAAAAGTAAAAAATAATGTATGTAATTCTTGTATAAGGTATTTCTCTCGCCTTCTTAGCATGTCTTCGTAGTGTAGTGGTCAGCATGCTGGGCGCGTATTCCAGAGGTCCGTGCTTCGATTCCCGGCGAAGGCGTTGCTCATTTTTCACTTCTCCTGCTTCCAGAAAGTACCTAATGTCTCTACAGTGGCGCCCGAACAAAAGGGTGGTGAATAATGATTCTCCTCGTCCAGGATTTGGCGAGTGGGTCCCGTAAAACCCTATCCGCTCCTTAGAAGGGGGAGTATATAAGGTATTTCTCCCGCCTTTTTGCTTAGCATGTCTTCGTAGTGTAGGGGTCAGCACTCTGGGCGCGTACTCCAGAGGTCCGTGGTTCGATTCCCGGCGAAGGCGTTCCTCATTTTTCACTTCTTTTGCTTCCAAAAATGCCTAATGTCAATACAATATTTTTGATCATATGTGAATAAAAATTAAATTCCTTGATTCCTATATACGAATTCTACTAGGACATTAACAGAAGCTCAAGGAACTAGAAATGGTTGTATTGAAATGCTACATATTGTTGCGTGCGTACGGGCTCATAGCAGATTGAATGCACACAAAACCGATGATAGTTTGATCAAATTTATTTTACGAGAAGAAACATTTTAAAGTTCGGGAAATGTCCACGAAAATACTCGTACAGCTCTTCTCAGTATCATAGACAACATTCAGTAGTTAGAACTTCAAACAACTAATAACGTTAAACGCACCTCAAAACAAAGCTTACCTAAAGAGCGAAGCTCACACGGGAATATCCCAATACTCCGTAGTCGATTCTGATCTGAGGAACTAAGAACTGAAGCTCTCTCTTGTGGATTTTATATAGTTTTCCCCGGGCGCCAAGAAATTTCTAGTACTTTCGATTTCTCGAAATTACTGGAAGGCATATAAGATTAAAGTTACACATAAGGGTCGAGTTACACAAGGAGATCAGTTACAGTACCAGTTATAGTTAGACAGTGACTGACGCTAAATGGTAGCTAAATGTCGTCAAGTCTAGCAACCTCCGGCGATTTCTCACCAAATTTGATGACAAAAATTAGCTGTTAAAAACCATAGCCACCTTGACGATATCTCAGCAATTTAGAGAGACGGCCATTTGTAGAGTCATTAGATTATTTCGAAGCAGGAGAGATAAAATACGAGCAAAGCCCTTTCCGGGATTCGAAACACGGGGTGTCCGCCGATAACATCGCGGCAAAAACATCGCGGACGAAAACGTCGCGGAGAAAACAACGCAAGGCGAAAACGTCGTGCTACAAAACATCGTGGAAGAACACATAGAGCAAAGAGAAAATATCGTAGTTCTAAAACATCGTGGTACAAAATATCGTCGTCGAAAATAAAGCGGTTCAAAAACTTCGCAGTTTAAAAAAACATCGTCGTCGAAAATATCGTGGTAAAAAATAAAGTATCTACAAATCATCGCCTGACGATACATCGCAGACTTGCTTTTTTCAGGCTTTAATAACTGTAAATGGATATTCCCATAATGATTGTGAGCGCAAGATGTAAGAAGGATAATTTTTACTTTCATATTTTTTATTAACTAATTACATTTTGCTGAGAAAATAAAGAAGGAAACTTAAGCATAGAACATTAATGCAACTTATAGCACTTAATAGAATTTTAAATCCGACATAGTTAACTAACAATGGACCATTAATAAATCATTTTTATAAAGATTTTTACTAGGTAATTTTTCATGAAAAGTATAAGCAATTAAGTTTGCATTTAATTTTCTATGCTTAAGTTTCCTTCTTATTTTTTCAGCAAATATTTATTGGTTAATAAAAAAATGTGAAAGTAAAAATTATCCTTCCTTACATCACTTGCGCTCACAAATCATTATGGGAATATCCATTTACAGTTATTAAAGCCTGAAAAAAGCATGTCTGCGATGTTATCGTCATGCGATGATTTGTAGCTACTTTATTTTTTACCACGATATTTTCGACGGCGATGTTTTTAAACTGCGAATTTTTTGAACCGCTTTATTTTCGACGACGATGTTTTGTACCACGATGTTTTAGAACTGCGATGTTTTCTCCCACGATGTTTTTAGCACAACGTTTTCGCCTTGCGTTGTTTTCTCCGCGACGTTTTCGTCCGCGATGTTTTCGGCTGTAACCGAACCACGGACCTCTTGAATACGCGTCGAGAGTGCTGACCACTACACCGCGAAAGCATGCTAAGAACGTGGGAGAAATACCCTTCAGACTCCCCCCTTTTTAAAAGGTGACTGGGATTTTAGGGGATCTAATCGCCAAATTCTGGCGGTGGAGAGCATCATCCACCATCTTTTAATTCGGGCCACCCTACAGACATTAGGTTATTTCGAAGCAGGAGATGGAAAGATGAGCAATGCCCTCGCCGGGACTCGAAACACGGACCTCTTGAATATGCGTCGAGCGTGCTGATCACTACACCACGAAGGCATGCTATGAAGGTGGGAGAAATACCATATACATTTACTGGATTTTAAATAGACTTTCCTATGTAATCTGATTTTTCCAGCAGAGCTTCGACTCTTTCAAGCATTTCATGCTACATTACACAAAAGACACTACAATTTTCCGTATAATTTCACTGATATTATTTACTTACATACAAATTCCGTAACAGTATAAAAATGATTACTTTCAGTTCGCTTTAATTTTTTTTTGACAAATTTGATTTGAAATTTACAATTATTCTCAATTTTATCATTTAAATTTTAAACGTCATTTTATGATACCTATATTTTTTGTTGTAATTTTCAGTGAATTTGATTAAAATCGCAGTATTTGAAAAGAACTCTTAAATATTTTGGTGTTTCACACATTATGAAACACACATTGCGTCTACAAAGTTCTAAGGCTAATTATTTTTATCAAATTCCAGTCAACTGGCATTACGATAATTGATTGTATTTAATACTCCCATATATCAAATTATTTTCCCCAAAATATAGTTTAGTTACGGATAGAATTTTTTAAGAATTTAATTGTTTCCTTTGATGCTGTGAACATCTGCTTTCGTGGATTCAAAAGTTGAGCAAAGACTAGCAATAAGGTCTAGGCATAAAGCAGAAATTAATCCTGATTTTTTTAAACAAATCGTAGCGTCTGTCGAAATTTGGCACCTTATTTATGATCCTGAGACAAAATGGTAATCGTCTCCTAGACCTGAAGAAGCTTCATTCGGTTTCAGAAATTTCGAGTAAAGGTTATGCTGATTTCTTTTTATTGTTGTTAGTATTGAAAAGGACTTGTGACAGGCAATCGGTGAATTCCATTTTTACTTCCTTGTACGAAGTAAAAAGGAAGTATTGTAATCGCGAAATTTTTCTGGTATCACATTTCAACGAAAATATCGATTTTGACCGCTATCCAATGCAATTTAATGATATTTTTGCGTGACATCTGCAAGTAAGGAAAGAATAAAGGACTCTTTTTCCTCCAAAAAATTATAAAACTGATTTAAAATGAATTCTAAAGAGAATTTTTTTGTGGCATCTGTGCGTACGTACGTATCTCGTATAACTCGAAAACGAGTAGCCTCAGAATGTTGAAATTTTGTATATAGGACTGCTATAACATGCAGATGTGCACCTCCAATTTTGGTTGCAATTGGCCGCACCAAAAGTATATAAATATATGTATATATATACCCACTCTGTTACTCGCTCAGTGAGCTCAGTTTCTTTATTCTTATATGTTTGTAAATTGTGCAATTTTTTGCTTTAAAAATGATTAAATTATGTTTTACTTATCTTCCGCTTAAGGCTTTTACGGCTTTACCTTTAGGAAATCTGCAAGCATTATTTGTAGAATTATCAAACAATTTAAAAGTTGTTTAAGTGCGGTTAAGCCTAATGCATTTTGATTACTATGGCGACACATGTTTGTTTACATTTCAAACTTGGCAAAATAGCGGATTTCAGGCCATTCTAGAGAAACTAAGCTTCGCAACAACAAAGATAACGCCTTCTTTTATTATTGCGAATTAAATCATGCTTAATCCATTCTGGAATTTATTCTAGGAAATAAGTGTTTCAGATTTACTTGGTAATTTTTAATATAGATAGTTTGAGTTTTTGTGTATTTCTGCCTTTCGGGAAGTGAGAACTGATTTAATTGAATGAGAAATACTGAATCGTCCGTGAAAAACTGTTTCTTTTTTGTTTTGTTTGCTTAATTTCTTTTATACATCGTTTCAGATTTATTTTAGTATTTGAATAGAACATGTGGCAACGATTAGACAGTTTTTCAAATGATATAAATTTAC